AAAAAAAAAAAAAAAAAAAAAAGAAAATGAACGCGACATATTTCTAAAGAATAAAACGTTTTATAATTAATTTTATTAGACAAATAAAATATTGTATTTATTATATGCGTATCAATACATCTATTGTATCTATTGTATGATATATCGATAATGTTATATATCTAATTAATTATATTTAATGCTATATACGTTAAAAAAAAAAAAAATGTGATAATGAATAAACTGTCGAGATACGAGATCTTGATGTAAGCTTTGAATACGTATGTATCACGATGTAATCGGCTTAAAAAGAAATGAGGATGGTTCACGTCCGAGAATGCAAGCTGTTTATGTTAATCACTCGTTTTAATCAAACTTTCAAACTATTTCAATTTTAAAATAGGAGGCTGCCACTTTTTGCTTTTTATTTATTTATTTGGATTGAGAAAATTAAAATCCACAATCAATCTTCCGAAATGTTGAACTACTTGAGATGCTTTCTCGCAATATTTCGTAAATTATAACATCGTTATAATTGATTCAATTATTGCTGTATGCATAGATTAATTAAACAGAACGTACATTTTTTATATAAAATTGTGTTCTATTATGTTTCTTTACAATTTTCATATGTTCCATTTACTGTGGCTAAACTAGATGAAAAGATTCATACTTCAAATAGAAAATTGAGATATTATGTATTAAATTATGTACACCATGTGATATAAGAATATGATATCACTTGCGATAATGCAAAGATACTACTTTTTGACAGAAGTTATTTAATTCTTGAAATACTATAGCAAACTGTAAAACTCGTATGTTAGAAATTGTTTAAAAAATTATCGAATACTTAAAAAGTTATAAAAAATAAATTATATTATAATAATAAATAAATAAATGAAGAAGAAACATTGAATTTTATCGATCTACATTACTTTACCTAAGTTTTACCTTAAAATAAATACAAGTGGACACAGAACAACATTGAAAACAAATCGAATTCATGAAATTAAAGAATTGTAAAAATTGTACGTATTCGATTTGGATTGCAACCGTGACTGTGAGTCAAGACAACTTGTTTTCAATGGTAACCCTCGAAGGTAGTCTTAAAAGATAGCTTTCAAGAGTATGAGGTCTTTTGAATCAGTTGAAAAAATTCAAAATATCTTGAACCGATTCTCTCAGAACGTCGGAAAGTTTAAAAAAAAAAAAGCTGGATACTTGATTGAATTTCTTAATTTTTTAATTTTGAACTTTGATCCACTGAAATACCAAATTTTTATTTTAACTTTCGATGTGTGCAATAAACGAATTTTAACTGGCATTTACATAAATAAGTATGAATTTGTTTGAAACTGACATTATAAATTATCATTCGACTTCTTTCGGCATATATATTAAATGAAAATATCTGTTGGTAATTATCAACATGATTAATTATGTGTAAATAGTGTAATTTTCTTTGTTCTCTAGAATTATTTGTCAACTTTCTATTATATTTTCTATTCTAATCCTTTATCTGTTGCCTTGACTTCTCAGAAAAATCGCATCAATTATAAAATAATGTAACAAACTTATCATAAAATATTCTAAGATACTAGAACATTTCGTAAAAGATATCGTCGTTTAGACAGATAATCCTCCATAATACTTATACCATTAGGTTACTTTTATCTGTGTTAAATTACGTCCTGTGGTTAAAATTTAATAATCCAAGGAAATTCCTCTGCAAAAAAGTAGCAACGGAACTGCTCGAATGAGGCTTGAATTTTCGAAGTATGCAAGAGAATATTGCAATAATATAATCAAGGTTTAAAGCATGCAAGTTTAATTCATACGCGATATTAAGACACGAACTGTGCAATGAAAATAAAGCAAACATGTGCCAAGAAGGAAGAGCAAACGAGTATTTGTGCATACGACCATACCGCGTGCAACTTTTCACATAAAACTGTATAAAACAACCGGCAGACCGGTGCACTTCTTGATTTGGCAAGTTTTATGGTAAGATGGCAGTATTCAGGCACGAAAATGCCCACTACGAGGAAAGTTAAGTCCGTTTACAAATATACATGCAACTGTGTATTATGGGGTGAAAAGTTTATTGATCAAATTCATAGGAAAATCTTGAGATCTTATTTTTACGAATGATTCTATCTCTTTTAATTCACATTTTCTACTGTTACATTCAATGTGTATTTTATATTCTGTGTGTGTTAATATTATATATATGTATATGTATTACAATACCCAAACGTTAGAAGTCTCCTAAAAATGAAAGATATTAAAAATCTAAACTGCAAGAAATTAGCAACTTTTTATTCATAAATAAAATTTATAAACCATCTATGTTTCTAATGTTATACTCAATTTAATGGTGTTATTATGTATTCCTATTTCAATGTTCCAATGTTGCGTTCTGGAAAGATTTTACCCATCTATAAGTCTATCTTTCTTTAATACAGAGTATACTTGTTATTATATAACTGTGCATATATTATACGAGATATCCCGAATTGAAATGCTAAAACTTCGGGCAGCGGAGTGTGTGGCGAACTGATAAACCAAGGAAGAAGTTTGAAGTTTGCTCGTTTTTGCTCCGTTTTGGAGAAAATCGCGAAACAAGAAACAGAAATTCTTACACTTGTTTATTTCATCGTGTTATTCATTCATATTTTATTACCTTACAATATCATCTATATTATTTATTTAACGAGTATATCGTTCAAAATGATTTTTTACAGCAAAATTCAAATATTATATTGAGCATTGACTATTGTAGCTAAACATTGTTTTTGTGATTGTTTAGTGCAGTTAGTTGAATACACTTATTGATTAAATAAGAAAATGAAAATTGTTTTTGTTCCTTTTTCCGCGATTTCCTGTAAAATGGAGCAGAAACGAATAAATTTTCCAGAGTTTATTTCGATCCTTTATATCCCAAAAGTTTTGACATTTAAATTTGCCCGATGAACCTAACTTAAACCTTGTATCATGTAATTAAATGTTTCGAGAAGTTTCCAAAGGCACGGAATAAATATTGGAACATCGACCATATCATTGGTAGTGTAAGGAAAACAATGTTTTTCTAATTGGCTCACGATGGACTTGTTTTGATATCGTTTAACCGATCGAAAATTTATTTTGGAGCTCGGCTTAGTACGATTGTTATGATGAACCACACGCGATGAATGATTCATCGCCTAAAATATTTCTAGCAAATGTTTCAAACCGATTGTTTCGTTCAGCGTATTCTAGAATGTTCGATATTCGATGATTTGCATTTTTTCAAAGCTTTTAATATTTTCAGACACGTAAAAAGGAATATATGTATATAATCATAAAATTTCTACG